CGCCAGGAAGCTGTACTGCGAGTGGTTGGTGCAGCAGAAATGCATCGTTTTCACATTTTATAAAAAAGTTAGTGTTGTTTTGTGTTGCAACTAATACCATTAAATAATTGGATTATTTAATTTTGAAAAAATATCGGTTATTATACATCACTGTTTGAAACTAAATTAACGAACTGACAGCTCGCTCCCATACAAAGTCTCACCGAGGGGTGCTAACGTAGTGATTTTTGCTAACGTAATAGGACTTATTTAAAATAGTTCCATTGTACCAAAATTGAAAGAATTTTGGATTTCGGTACCATTTTAATGCAGATTACGAATATGCCATTTTCTTAATACCCCTAATGAACCCAATTGATTTTAAACTTCAAACTCCAGTTCTAGTGTTGGCATAAGTTGTTACTTTATTGGCCTTAAGGGTGCTTCAGTTTTTGGCCGTAGTGATTATTTCAACGGAATAAATGATCGAAACAAATTCATTTTTAGTTGGATATTTTTGAAACTCTCAGGGAATAAATAAACACATATTAACTATGTTTTTGCAAAGTTGGTTTATTCAACCTCCTCTCCTAGGCTAAATGCCCATACCTTGTACTTATCGCTACCCATCAAATCCTGTGCAACACTTGCACCATCTTTCTTTCACACTTTTATCCACTCTTTCTTCAAATCCTTATCGTTTTTGAAGACCTTCCCTGTTTTCCGGAGCTTGCCCTTCATAATCACCCAGAATTTTTGTTTTGGGCGATGTTCTTGTGAGTTGGGCGGATTCGCCTCCTTCAGCACGAAAACAACATCGTTTGCTTCGTACCACTCCATCACCGGTTTCGCGTAATGGTACGATGCCAGATCCGGCGAAAACAGGGGAGATGATTACTTCAACGGAGCATTTTTCCATTGCTGATAGGTGCAATGAAATCACAATGATTGTAAATCAAATTCATCTAGTAAATTTAGGCAGCCCTAAGTATGCATCTTAGAATTGAAACGATCCGTAAATATTGAAGAACGTTCCTTTAAAAACATCTAAATGATCCATAAAACACCGGAGAAAAAAAAGTGTGAATGCACAACAAACAATTCAAAGTCACAAATAAGCATACACATTGAATAAATGCTGTATAACAGTGTACAATGCTGAATAAAACAGGATGTCGAATTTTGTGCTGAAAAAAGCTCATTGAGATCGATAGGTGTGCCATTATTCCACCGTTTGCTCTGATTTTATTAATTTACTTATTAAAACCTTCATTAACGTTGACTGTCTTCCTGATTCAGAATCAGAAGTTTGATCTAATAACAAACTGAATAAGTTTAATTAATATGACAGTTTTCAATTGATTTAATAAAATGCTTTATTAGACGTCCTATAAATGTATTTTAGCTCCATTATTAGATTTCATTGCATTGCTTTACAATATTGTTGTATAAAGGTAAATACAGTCGAAAAAATAGCTCTTATACTACTATGCGTCCATGTTTTAATTTCATGCTTTGTAAATGCTTTATAAACGACGTATTAGATTCATTATTCCACAACACTGCCCAACAAACAATTCAGAGTCACAAACAAGCATATAGATTGAATAAATGCTTTATATAAGTTGTACAATGCTTAATAAAACGGGTTGTCAAATTATGTGCTCAAAAAACCTCATCGAGATCAATGATGTGCCTTTATTCCGCTGATTGCTCTGATTTGATTAATATACTTATTAAAAGCTATACAAACGATGACTGTCTTCCTGATTTAACACCAGAAGTTTGATTTAATAACATACTGAATAAGTGTAATTTGTACATACATTGACGCTTTAATTCGACTGTTTTAAATTTATTTAATAAAATGCTTTATTATACGTCTAATAATTGTTTTCTAGCTCCATTATTAGATTCCATTTCATACCCATATTGCTGAATAAAGGTGAATACAGCCAGCATAATAGCATTTATACCACAATGTGTCCATGTTTTAATTTCATGCTTTGTAAATGCTTTACAAACGACGTATTCATTCATTATTCCACAACATTGCTTTTGGCTAACAACAAAACGAAATTGGTAGCATAGTGGTTACCGTTTCCGCTTTCCAAGTAGAAGGTCGCGAGTTCAATCACAACCAAATCTCTTTTTTTTATTTATTTTCTACGCTTAATTAATTTAAATCGTAATCATAGATCGTATCACTCACGACAACCAATTTATCGATCTATCGAAAATAATAGCCCAGCATCCTTTCCATCGAAATCAGAAAGATGGAGAGGTAACAACCCAGGTAACAATTTGATGTGTTGATAAATTGATTTCAATTTAACCTTAGATTGAAAAATTGCTGTACATAGACCACGTTAACCTTTGTCCAGCTTTTAAACATCTAAATCTGGTGATTTTAATCAGCCAAAAGCTTAACAGTAATATACATTATAAGCTTTTTAAGGCAATAAATAACAGTCATTTCCAACCTTTGTTCAGCCTTTTAGTTTTATTTCAAAAATAATAATGGAAGACCGCTTCATATCTTATGCATTTACATGGAACTGTTTCAACTTGTTGCTGACTAATTGGATTAACACATTTATATTGTTAATATAAGTATAAAAATTTCCTTTGCATTTCGGGATTCGAACCGGCAGTCGCTGATTCATAGGCGTCAACCTACTGGACCATTTAGGCATATGTTTGGTAAAAGATATGATCATTAACTTGAAGCACGTCAAATTTAAGTTGAATAACAGCACCCGGAAGTGTATTATGCAGCAATGCAGAATTGTAAGAAGCAACTGGTGACCGTTAAACATTCCTCTCATTTTCAAGTGCACTTAACACAATGTGGACAGAAGCACGCGATTTATTTTGATGGTCATTTGGATGCTATTTTAGTGCCATAATTGAGTAATATTTTTGGAATGCGGTCTGAAAATTCAATACAACATAAAGTGGTGAACAGTCAAAACACAGAAGTACAAATGTTAATACTTCCGACGTCCTCGCTGACCACTTCTACCTGGAGCTATTCCTAAAAATCTCGTTTTCCTTGACTCTACTGCTGCCACTGCCTGTAATAAGAAGGGTAGGCAGTGAATTTAGTAGAACTAAAATGCCGGACATGCAACGAGTGACACAGACACTGACGACATTTAACAAATCAAGCTATCAAAATATGTGTAACGCATTGCTGATTTGTGGAGTTGTGTTAAGCTTAAATAAGGTTTGTTCAATCTTTGGATCAGCTAACTTATTGAGGTTGGATTATGGGGATACAATTCGCTTCATGCACTATTAATCAACTATATATTAAGCCTGATGTTAATCAGCTTTGTACACCTTAAATCAACCAATAATCAGCTTATGTTCTTAATGTTCAGCTTGTATTGTTACTTGGGAATGGTCTTCTGGAAAACAACTATGAATGAATTAATCATTCTCAGATCTCCTTGAACTAGCTAGAGTTACGGCTGGGAGTGCTGATAGGTTTTCAGATTCAAGCTTTTATTACTTATTTAGCTGCCCATATGATGTATTCTAGGATAGCTCAGATGGCAAGGCAAGCGGCTGGTGATCGGAAAGTCATGGTTCGAATCTCATCTAACGACATGTGTGTATGTATGTATGTAATAAATTTTCTAAGATCTATGTGTGGTGGGTGCATGCTTCGACAGAAATAATGACAGAGAACAATTACTAACGAGAAACAACACAACCCTGCTCTGTCCCGTTCTTATTTTCGGATTAATTATCCCGTAGTTGAATAATCGTTTGATAAATGCTTAATAGTGTCTAAATAAACATGAGAATCAAGCGTATATATACACCTTTTTATACCATCGATGTTTAAGGAAGAAATAATGTCTAATAAACGCTGAATAATCAAAATTTTTAGCGAACTTTTGTAAGTCGAATAAATGCTTCTCGACATTCCTTATTTCAACACCAAATATTTCAATGTTGTGGTTGAATAAATTCTCCAGATTTGTGTGAACAAAGTTATTATTAAAAATAATACAAGTATTATTAAGCATGAAGTAAAATGAAATCGTCAAGAAGTCATTTCTTCAATAGGCAATTGTTTGTTGGGTGATCCATAAAAAAATATCAATATAATCCATATTTTATGTACAATTTAGCAACATAATTGTAAAAATGTACCGGTAAACTTTTAAAGAATAAGCATTGAAATTGTACGAATTACCCATAAACATATTGCAAATGATCTATGAAACATTCAGCAATGAACCTTAAACTAAAGCAAGTGATCAATAGAAAATCAAGTTTGCGCATTTAAAAATATAGGCTTGATCAATAAATTAGACGTAGGGTTAACTACCCCTGTTGCGGGGATAGATTTTCCACAATCTTTAATAGCAAACCAGGCTTTCGTGGTGGTAAGCTTTAAGCTAGAATAAACCTTTATTAGTATGTAGCTAGGATACTTTCTTACATTAAACTTACAATTGTTGGTGAACCTTTGAACATTGGGATCTTATCACGAATCAATGGGCGATAAGTTGTGGAAAGCACTGTAGTAAATTATGGTCCTATAGGTTAGGTGTACAATTCAATAATTTCAACGTACTTACGCTTTAATTTACCGTTTACTAATATGTTTAAGCAACTTCTAATTTCGCCAAGTAGGTTTAAGCTATGTAGAATTTATCCTATCTTTAGAAATAGTTAGTATTAGATTATGAATTCATCCTCATCATTTTACGTAATGCATGTGTTACCTTTATGTGCGAACAAATAGCATGATCTCGCACGGATATATTACAAATAACCAGGATAATCACTTAACCTACTGATAGCTGGCGTAACTTTATTTGCGTAATCTACTTTTAAGCTTATTTGTATAATTTTCACCGTTAGATATAACTGTAATTACTAGATTAAGCTAATTCACGTATCATTGTTTATCATTGACCATTGTTCTGAACTCCAATGTCGTTTTCTATCTCTCTTTCCCTCTTTGTTCATGGTTGATCGGCCACTGTGGGGATCGTAGCTCATCCGACCACAGTTGAATTGCGACGGGGGGTCTCGTCGTGACATTCCGCCACCCGTAAACCCTGGTGATGCTCCTGATGCACTGGATCTCCTTGATCAGGTTTACTACTCTCCGAAACGTCGAGAACCGCTAGTTTCACTGCTGGTCGTCGCAGTACTCCAGATGCTGTCCGGACTAAGGCCTGACGGACTCGTCCATCCCGTCCAGGAATAACTTCTTCCACTCGTCCTCGAGTCCACTGGTCCCTCACCGTTCCACTCACTACCAACACCAGATCACCGATTGCTATGTCCCGAACTTCTTCGAACCATTTTCCTCTTCGTGTTATCACTGGCAGATACTCCTTCACCCATCTTGACCAGAACTCGTTGGTGATGGCCTGTGCTAGCTTCCAACTGCTACGCAGGACCGCCGGGCTATTAATAGGTTCGTCCGGCCGGATCTTGTCACCATTGGAAGATCCCAGCAGAAAGTGGTTAGGCGTTAGAGCTTCTTGGTCTGCCGATTCGAGTGGGATGTAGGTGAGCGGTCGCGTGTTGATCATCGCTTCGGTTTCTACGAGAATCGTTTCCAGGACTTCATCACTTGGTCTGCGAGGAGCGTCAGCTACGGCTCCCATTGCCACTTTCACCGATCGAACTAGACGCTCCCACGCTCCACCCATATGTGGAGCCGCTGGTGGAATGAATCTCCATTGAGTATTCGCATTCGTGAACGTAGTAGCTAGAGCGTTGTTCCTTGCCTGTACTTCTTCCCTTTTTAGCTCTCTGCTAGCGCCTTGAAAACATGTTCCGTTGTCCGAGTAGAACTCAGCAGGGGAACCACGACGTGCGATGAAACGGCGCACTGCCATGATGCACGATTCCGTCGATAAACTGTGCACGACCTCCAAGTGCACGGCACGAATAGTGAGGCAGGTAAATAGGGCTACCCATCTTTTCACCTGACTTCTACCTACTTTCACCATTACAGGTCCGAAGTAATCCAATCCGACGTAGGTAAATGGTCGGACGAACGGTTGTAGCCTGGCTTTCGGAAGCGGTGACATTGCGGGAGGACTGGGCATGGCTTTTCTCAGTCGACAAATCATGCAGGTCTTCGACACCTTCGCGATCAAAGCACGAAGCTTGGCGATTTCGAAACGTTGACGCATTTCGTTGGTTACAGTCTCTCGGTTGGCGTGACGGAAACGGCGGTGGTACCAGTCTGTAAGAAGAAACGTAATTAGGTGTTGCCTGGGAAGGATGGCGGGGTACTTAGCTTCGGTCGGTGCAAAGGATGCGACACCGATTCGACCACGCATCCGAAGTATCCCACGCTCGTCGAGATATGGCCAGTTCTTGTAGATCGAACTTGACTTGGCAACACGGTCGTGTCGCGCTTCGGGAGACCCTTGTGACCCAGAAAGAATGGTGATTTCTTCTGGGAAGGCTTCAGCTTGGGCTACCTTCCATAGTGCTTCTTCTGAACGTTTTAATTCGTGCTGATCGAAGACGCCCAGTTCCAGCTTGGATCCACATCTTTTACGGCGCAGGTTGTTGATGAATCGGAACACGAAAGCCATTGTTCGCTGTAGCGTCGTCCACCGGCTGAATCTGGATACGTCAATTAACTGAGGAGCTGTGTAATGAGTGTGACTTGATCGAAGTTCTTCTTTAGTTGGACTGGCCTGGGATGGTTGAGGCCAGCATTCCTCAGGTTGGTGAAGAAACGCCGGACCACAAAACCATGGATTAGTTGGTAGGAAGTTGGGGCCATTCTTCCATTTGGTAGCGAGGTCGGCAGTGTTCATTTCAGAGGGGACCCATCGCCACTCGCGTGCATCAGTTGCTGTGAGAATTTCACCGATGCGAACGGCAACGAATTTGTTGTAACGATGGTGGTCTGATCGAATCCAGGCTAGTACTGTACTGGAGTCACTCCAAAAAACTCGTCGACTTATGGGATAGGTGTGATAACCTTGGATAGCCTCAAGAAGGTTGATTCCAAGGACAGCAGCCTTCAATTCTAGACGAGGGATTGAAAGAACCTTGAGAGGTGCAACCTTCGTCTTTGCGCTAATGAAGGCCACCTGTATGCCGGATTGAGTTGGAAGCCGGTAGTACGCTACACAAGCGTAGGCAGAATCACTGGCATCGACGAATACATGGAGCTCTAGCTGATCAAAATTGTCCGGAAATGGCGTTTGAAAGTAGCACCGTGGAATTCGCAAGGTATCCAGCTGGGGAAAATAACCAATCCAATGTCGCCAACGATCGTACAGTTCCTCGTTCACCGCTTCATCCCAATCGATTCCTGTTGCCCAGATGTTCTGCATCAGCACCTTTCCATGCACTAGGAAGTACGATACAAAACCCATTGGATCAAATAAACTCATGACGACTTTCAGTACTTCGCGTTTTGTTGGGATGTGGGCTTCGTTGAGGATTGGTTGCAAGTCATTTCGCATTGCAAAGGTATAGGTGAAGACGTCTTCTTTGGGAATCCACCTCATGCCGAGCACGGATTCAGTTGTTTCCGCCCGTATAAGAGAGAGATCCTTCGAGACTTCTGCATCCGCTACTCCGATTCCCCTCAGCACTTCTTCTTCATTGGATAGGAAATTTCGTATTTCGAATCCACCTTTTGAATGGACAAGCTTCACTTCGTTTACCACTTAGATCGCTTCGTGGATCGACCTGAAGCTGTCCAAGTAGTCGTCCACGTAGTGATGGTCCTTGATGGCGGAAGCTGCACGGGGATACTTCTGAGCGAATTTTTCAGCGTTCAAGTTCTTCACGAACTGTGCTGAAGCTGGAGAACAAGTGGACCCAAACATAGTAACGTTGATGACGTAGATTTGCAATGGTTGATCAGGACTGTTGCGGAATACAAACATCTGCGCTTTGCGATCCTTAGATTGTAGCTTGATTTGCAGAAACATCTCCCTGATATCTCCGGATGCAGCAACCGGAAACAAGCGAAAACCACTCAAGACCTTAGGCAGAGAAGTGAGGAGGTCCGGGCCTTTCAAAAGGTGTGAGTTGAACGAAGTCCCATCGACTTTCGCAGCAGCATCCCAAATGAGCCGGATCTTTCCTGGTTTTTTCGGGCTGATGACTACACCTAGCGGAAGGAACCAAGTGTTTCGCGAGTCTATTTCAGCAATTTCTGTTGCACTGGCCTTGTGGATGTATCCTTTACACTCGAATTCCGTTATCTGCTCCTGAACTCGCTGCACCAATGATGGTTCTTTCTGCAGCTTCTTTTCCAAGGACTTCATTCGACGGATGGCCATGGGATAGGTATCCGGGAACTCTCGTGCGTCGACTTTCCACAGTAAACCCGTTTCAAATCCGCATGATGTACGCCGTGTGGTCTCGTCGAGCAATCTTCTTGCTCTCCTGTTATCCTCAGATTCTAGTTTTTCTGAGGTAGTGGATACTCCACAGTTTTCCATCGTGAAGAAATCTCTCAGTTGTTCGTTCAGCATGTAGTCCGCATCGGGCGCAGCAGCAGTGTGGAAGTTGACTGAAGCCCTTGGTGCTGATTGCTTTGATGAACACCCATATATTCCCCAGCCGAGACGACACTTAGCGGCTATTGGATCCTGGGGACCTCCCTCGCGTAGTTTCAGTGGAACTCCAAGTCGAAGATTGTCTAGTCCGATCAGTAATTTTGGTTGGACTAGATCGTGATCCTCTAGTGGCAGGCCTTTGAGGTAAGGAAATCGTTGACTCATGTCACGGTAGTTCAGGCGTTGAGAAGGTAGAACCAGACAGCTCACTGTACGTGCCTGGCAAAGATCGTAACGAGCACTACTGTTTTTCCCCGCTATCTCAAAGTTGATTTGCTGAGAGAGCGGCTCCTTGCGTGTCATGTTTCCTGTCCACTGTAGGGTGAGTGGTTTCGTAGGGCCCACAACGCCAAGGTCCTTCGCAACGTTTTCCTCCAGAAGAGTGATTTGTGAGCCTTCGTCGATGAACGCGAAAATAGTTATGCTTTTCTCCTTTCCGTATAAAACTACCGGTAGAATCCGAAATAGTGGTTGATGTTCGTTAGATGAGAGTTGATTCGACGAAATGTTCACGGAATGCGATGACGAGGCGGGATTGGAATTGGAGTGGAGGAGTGTGTGATGTTTCAAACGGCACCCTTCTATTCCACATCCTTTCCATGACTTGCACGGCCATTTTCCGTGGTTGTTCAAGCACGTCCTGCACAAGCCTTTGTCCGTTACTAGTTTCCATCGTTCCTCCATACCTAGCTGCTTGAATTTTACACATTCGGCTATCTTATGGCCTTCATGACTACAGGAACAGCATGTTCGAGCTGATTTGCGTGGATTTTCGGTTGCACTGAGCTGCTTGAAGCCGGCAGAATTACCGGAAGAGTGGGTTTGAACCATTGCCCTCTCCTTTGACCGCTGCTTCTCATTTCTCGGGATTTTCTGATACCCAGGAAGCTCGAAACTCACTTCGCTGGCCGCCTTTACCAATCTTTCCATGAACTCCCCAAACGTCAGAACAGTTACTCGAAGTCGTTGGTTCTTAAATGCAGCCCAATCCATCCTCATTAGTCCTGGCAACTTCTCTACCAGTTCCTGCATGAGCATCGGGTTCGAAAGATGGTCTACTTGCTGCGCTGCTTGGAGATGATCAACAAAGTTTTGAACTGCCAGTCCAAATTCGAGGATCGATTCGGGCCGGTCATGTCTAGGGCCTGGTGTCCTGCGGATAGTTTCGAGCAGGGACCTGATGAGTAGTTCCGGGCGTCCATAAAGTGTTCGTAGAGTGTTCATTACTTGTGGCACGCTGGCTGGCAGCAGAAGTCTGCTTCGTACTGCATCTCGAGCATGTCCAACGAGACACCGTTGTAGACGAACGAGGTTTTCAGCATTGGAGTATCCACAACTAATCGTAGACTGTTCAAAACTGCTGATGAACATCGGCCAGTCCACGGGGTTTCCGTTGAAAGTGGGTAAATCCTTTCCGACCACTTGTCGGGCAGCTATTTGCTGAGAACTAAGAGCACCTGGTGGATCACGTGGCATCGGAGGATCTCGTGGTATCGGAGGATCACGTGGTATCGGCGGGTTGATCAAAGTCCGTGGATAACGTACCAACGGTGGACCACGTAGAAAAGGAGGATTTCTAACTCTCGGTGGACTTTGCTGTCGAGGGGTCCGATTGTAAACCTCTCCATTGCAACTGATTCCATGGTTAGGGCTCGGATAATCCCGATGTCCATCTTCTCTCGAATGGTGATGAAACATTGGAGATGTATGTTGAGGAACTACTGGTTCGGAGACCACCGGAGAACTATGTCGTAAGGGGGTGTTCCATGGACTGCGACGCGGTGACGATGTCATGAAAACTGAATTATCATCGTGTTGAGTGCGTTGATCACAGACCGGCGAGTGATACGGATCTGGTACGATAGGAGGCCATTTTTCTCGAGGAATAGGTTCCGAGGTTGATATGTATCGACGAAAAGGTTCTCTAACGATGAGTGATGGTATCTCTAGAGGTGGGATTGTGGTTTTCCGAGGTGATGTTCCTGTACATGAGTGAGCTGGTTGAGATATAGATGAAAGGGTACCACGACAAGTGGGTACATTCACTGACATCGAAGAGACTCCTTCGGGCAGTAGCTCTTCTGGGGCCGGAGGGACCATTCTGGAATTGTTTCCATCTTGTGGTTCCAATTCCTTCCCACCAGTCTTCCCATAAGGTTGATTAACATTCAACCATTCCGTAACTTTTTCTCGTGAGCTTGCTATGGAAGTCACTACACTACCACGTTCCGAAATCTGCAACATGATCTCCGTCCTCTTCTCCAAAGACTCTCTGCGGATAAGCTGCTGTTTCAGCAAATGTGCTTTGTCTACTTCCAGCTTTAGCTGACGCAAACGTAGCTCCTCGTCCAGCAACTTCCGCTTCTCCTCCAACTGGCGTTGTGCTTCTTCGAGCTCGCGTTGTCGGAGTTCTTCTTCCTCCTTGAGCTCTTGTTCCTTTAGTTTAGCCTCTTCCTCTGCCAGTTCTAACTGCTTCTGTACAGCCGACGACCTAGTACTGTTGCTCCGGATAGCCGATTGCGCTTTACTTCCTCTGTCTGAAGAAACTTTTACCTCTGACGTCTTGGATGGCCTCCCTTCAGACGTTTTAGTGGACTGGTTACCTCTTGAACGTGGCCGCAGTATTCGGAGGGACGCTGCATTTTCCTCCTGACACTGCTTACAAATGTATGGACGTCTTTGCACGGCTTGAGTCACGCCGGCACAAATAAAGCTGCTTTCCACAACTTATCGCCCATTGATTCGTGATAAGATCCCAATGTTCAAAGGTTCACCAACAATTCTTAAAGAATGTTGCGGGGATAGATTTTCCACAATCTTTAATAGCAAACCAGGCTTTCGTGGTGGTAAGCTTTAAGCTAGAATAAACCTTTATTAGTATGTAGCTAGGATACTTTCTTACATTAAACTTACAATTGTTGGTGAACCTTTGAACATTGGGATCTTATCACGAATCAATGGGCGATAAGTTGTGGAAAGCACTGTAGTAAATTATGGTCCTATAGGTTAGGTGTACAATTCAATAATTTCAACGTACTTACGCTTTAATTTACCGTTTACTAATATGTTTAAGCAACTTCTAATTTCGCCAAGTAGGTTTAAACTATGTAGAATTTATCCTATCTTTAGAAATAGTTAGTATTAGATTATGAATTCATCCTCATCATTTTACGTAATGCATGTGTTACCTTTATGTGCGAACAAATAGCATGATCTCGCACGGATATATTACAAATAACCAGGATAATCACTTAACCTACTGATAGCTGGCGTAACTTTATTTGCGTAATCTACTTTTAAGCTTATTTGTATAATTTTCACCGTTAGATATAACTGTAATTACTAGATTAAGCTAATTCACGTATCATTGTTTATCATTGACCATTGTTCTGAACTCCAATGTCGTTTTCTATCTCTCTTTCCCTCTTTGTTCATGGTTGATCGGCCACTGTGGGGATCGTAGCTCATCCGACCACAGTTGAATTGCGACGGGGGGTCTCGTCGTGACAACCCCTTTTCCGGCCTATTAAGCACAACCCGCATTTAGTCTTTCTTAATCTAGCGCAGTTTAGCACCAAACGGAATGTTATTATTACCTTTCCGTATGTACCTTAAGATTTGATAAAGAGAAACCAATCGTTGAGATATTGTCAAAAGTCTAACACTGCTTCTTGACGCCAAACTCGGCCAACGGATTCTAAACTCAGCCTAACGCATTGAAACGCCATTGAAATGCCAATGAATTCACTTCGGCCTATCGGATGAAGACAAAAATTGATTCGGTCGGATCGCTTCTTTTGTTTTTGAGAATAATGGGTGCCAACCTTCATACCACGCATTCTAATTGCCTTCGTTCGGTAGCTTATTAACTAAAGTATAGTACCAAATGCATAATTGACTTGGTTAGCTCAGAAATCATGGATTTATTTGGAGTTTTC